CCCAACCCATCCCATCCCATCCCATCCCATCCCATCCCATCCCATCCCATCCCATCCCATCCCATCCCATCCCATCCCAACCCATCCCATCCCATCCCATCCCATCCCATCCCATCCCATCCCATCCCATCCCATCCCATCCCATCCCATCCCATCCCATCCCAACCCATCCCATCCCATCCCATCCCATCCCATCCCATCCCAACCCATCCCATCCCATCCCATCCCAACCCATCCCATCCCATCCCATCCCATCCCATCCCATCCCATCCCATCCCATCCCATCCCATCCCATCCCAACCCATCCCATCCCATCCCATCCCATCCCATCCCATCCCATCCCATCCCATCCCATCCCATCCCATCCCATCCCATCCCATCCCATCCCAACCCATCCCATCCCATCCCATCCCATCCCATCCCATCCCATCCCATCCCATCCCATCCCATCCCATCCCATCCCATCCCATCCCATCCCATCCCATCCCATCCCATCCCATCCCATCCCAACCCATCCCATCCCAACCCATCCCATCCCATCCCAACCCATCCCATCCCATCCCATCCCATCCCATCCCATCCCATCCCATCCCATCCCATCCCATCCCATCCCATCCCATCCCATCCCAACCCATCCCATCCCATCCCATCCCATCCCATCCCATCCCATCCCATCCCATCCCAACCCATCCCATCCCATCCCATCCCAACCCATCCCATCCCATCCCATCCCATCCCATCCCATCCCATCCCATCCCATCCCATCCCATCCCATCCCATCCCAACCCATCCCATCCCATCCCATCCCATCCCATCCCATCCCATCCCATCCCATCCCATCCCATCCCATCCCATCCCATCCCATCCCATCCCATCCCAACCCATCCCATCCCATCCCATCCCATCCCATCCCATCCCATCCCATCCCATCCCATCCCATCCCATCCCATCCCATCCCATCCCATCCCATCCCATCCCATCCCATCCCATCCCAACCCATCCCATCCCATCCCATCCCATCCCATCCCATCCCATCCCATCCCAACCCATCCCATCCCAACCCATCCCATCCCATCCCAACCCATCCCATCCCATCCCATCCCATCCCATCCCATCCCAACCCATCCCATCCCATCCCAACCCATCCCATCCCATCCCATCCCATCCCATCCCATCCCATCCCATCCCAACCCATCCCATCCCATCCCATCCCAACCCATCCCATCCCATCCCATCCCATCCCATCCCATCCCATCCCATCCCATCCCATCCCATCCCATCCCATCCCATCCCATCCCATCCCATCCCATCCCATCCCATCCCATCCCATCCCATCCCAACCCATCCCATCCCATCCCATCCCATCCCATCCCATCCCATCCCATCCCAACCCATCCCATCCCATCCCATCCCAACCCATCCCATCCCATCCCATCCCATCCCATCCCATCCCATCCCATCCCATCCCATCCCATCCCAACCCATCCCATCCCATCCCATCCCATCCCATCCCATCCCATCCCATCCCATCCCATCCCATCCCATCCCATCCCATCCCATCCCAACCCATCCCATCCCATCCCATCCCATCCCATCCCATCCCATCCCATCCCATCCCATCCCATCCCATCCCATCCCATCCCATCCCATCCCATCCCATCCCATCCCATCCCATCCCATCCCATCCCAACCCATCCCATCCCAACCCATCCCATCCCATCCCAACCCATCCCATCCCATCCCATCCCATCCCATCCCATCCCATCCCATCCCATCCCATCCCATCCCATCCCATCCCATCCCATCCCAACCCATCCCATCCCATCCCATCCCATCCCATCCCATCCCATCCCATCCCATCCCAACCCATCCCATCCCATCCCATCCCAACCCATCCCATCCCATCCCATCCCATCCCATCCCATCCCATCCCATCCCATCCCATCCCATCCCATCCCATCCCATCCCATCCCATCCCATCCCATCCCATCCCATCCCATCCCATCCCATCCCATCCCATCCCATCCCATCCCATCCCATCCCATCCCATCCCATCCCAACCCATCCCATCCCATCCCATCCCATCCCATCCCATCCCATCCCATCCCATCCCATCCCATCCCAACCCATCCCATCCCATCCCATCCCATCCCACCCCACCCCACCCTGTGCTTGTTGATCCCTCCCCATCCCTTCTCGTCTCTCTCAATCCTTCCACACCACACTGAATCCCTCGCTGTGTTTGCTCTCATCTCCATCCCCTCCTTTCATCCACGTTCATTGCTGCGTGCTGAGCAACCAGTTTCGTATCCATATTGATTGCTGATGGCATATAGCGCAACAAGGGCCTTCCCTTCACCTTCTTGCCTCACTCCCATTTCCCCCCACCCACCACCACCCCAGGCGTACGCCATTTCGCGAGACAAGGGTCTCCCCTTTGCGTTCATCTGGCGGCGGGTGAACCGAGACAAGACGCCCATCTACTCGGTGTGGCTGTGCTGTGGCGTGGCCATCCTCTTCTCCCTGCCGCTCCTCAAGGACTCTTTCCTCTTCTCCGCCATCACCTCCCTCGCCACCGTCGCCTGGGTGGGCGGCTATGCTGTCCCCATCTTCTTTCGGCTCATTCAACGGGAAGAGGATTTCGAGCCCGGGCCGTTTTACCTCTCCAAATATGTTGGCGTCTGGGGCAGGTGAGGGCGGGAGAGGGTTGCATGGCTTGGCGTGGTGTGGTGTGAAGTGGTGTGGTGTGGTGTGGTGTGGTGTCATGTCGTGGCCTCTTCTCCCTGTCTCTCCTAAAGGACTCTTTCCTCTTCTCCGCCATCACATCCCTCCCTCGCCACTGTCGCCTGGGTGGGGGGGTATGCTGTGCCGATATTTTCCCGCCTGATTCAAAGGGAGGAGGACTTCGAACCAGGGCAGTTTTACCTCTCCAAATACGTCGGCGTCTGGGGCAGGTGAGGCTGCCTTGCTGCGCTGTAGAGTCTAGACTGTGTGTGGTGCGGTGCGGTGCGGTGTGGTGTGGTGTGGAGGTGAGACTCTTTTGAAGTATGATGGTGCGTGGGGTAGGTGAGGCAGAGAGCACAGCATGGCATGGCATGGCATGGCATGGCATGGCACGGCATGGCACGGCATGGCACGGCATGGCATGGCGAACTTGGTTTGGTGCAGCAGTTCTCACTCTCTCAGTACACACTCTCAGTCTCTCTCTCAGTCTCTCTCTCAGTCTCTCTCTCAGTCTCTCTCTCAGTCACTCTCTCAGTCTCTCTCTCAGTCTCTCTCTCAGTCACTCTCTCAGTCTCTCTCTCAGTCTCTCTCTCAGTCACTCTCTTGGTCACTCTCAGTCACTCTCTCAGTCACTCTCTGTCACTCTCTCAGTCACTCTCTCAGTTGGTTTGCTCCTGGTGCGAGCATCTTTTGACGTGTCTCGAAAGTCGTATGTACATACGTGATGTGGGTTCATTGAGACATCTCGAAAAAATTGACATGGCTTGGTGCAATGCTCTGCCTCGGTTAGTGTGAGCCTGGTACGAGTGTGTGTATGGGGCATAAGAGTTGGTCTCTCTCCTCTTCTTTAACCCTTGCAGAAGGCACTACTCATTCGCCTCCACGCCTCCTCTCCCCTCTCTATCTCTCACTCACCCTCTGCCTGTTGGAGTGCAGGAGATTGATCAACATTGGAGCCATTCTCTTTGTCCTCGAAACAGTCAGCATCTTTATGCTACCAATGGTCTTCCCAATCACCGCAAGCAACTTCAACTACGCATGTGTCGGAATCTTCGTGGTAGTTTCCTTCTTCCTCGTCTGGTGGTTTGTCGACGCACGCCATTGGTTCGTCGGACCGTTTCTGGATAAGACGGCCACCAACAACCAATCGAAATACGCCGCAGGGAGATGGTTCATGTAATGGAGGAGGCTGCTGTAGCTTTGACCTGGCTTACCTGTTGTTGGCTTGGGTTTGACCGACTTGAAGATCCTTCTGTGTGTGGAATGGAATGGAAGGCATGGTTTGTGTGATGATCTTGATTGTTCACTTCAATTCGAAGGCCTTCTGTGGTAACCCCGTCAAAGATACTAAATTGGCTCGCTTGGTAAAAGTGGTTGCGCGCTGAGGAGGCCTCATACAGTGTGTTAAGAGTTGTCCAGGTCAAACTTGCCTTATGAGTTTCGATTGGTATTGAATGCAATGTTGGTAGCTGGAAGGTGCTTCTGCTAGCTCATTAAACAACAGCTGACGCTGTTTCAACTTTTATGTTCATCAACATTGCAAGTTACGGTAGTCTGAGAAAGATTAGTGTACATGTTGTGTATATCCTTTTGTCCAGTTTACACACCTCCAAACCATTTCCAACCGAAGCACATGTACACCGTTACACCCGCCGAATACAGTATCACCGTCACAGTTGAGTTTACTGTATGTCGAGGTCGGTGTTTGAACATATTCACGTGGCGCGAGTGGGATGGCATGTGGGCGCTGTTTGGCCGTTTTTTTCGAGTTTGTCCGGTCTGGTCCGAAGAATGAATTCCCCCGAGCGGTTCGACGCTTACTCATGTTACTGACCTGGCAGCAAACGTTGTATTGAAGGTGGTTCTATCGTGCGATCAAATCTCACGGCTAACAGCGTTGCTTGCATGCGAGCGTTCAGCGGGAATGGAATCTTAGGCGGTGCGGGTGTCGGCAAATTCTGACGGTCGGAAACTTCGATCCGAGGGCTGACATCCAGCGACATCCAGCGACATGGTCACTTCGGACACGCCGTTAGCACCACCAGCAGCTAGCTCAACAGCGCAACGGCTGTTCCTTCCGTACAATGCAGCTCCAACACCCTGCTTTTTGCCACGCGCCATGAACTCCGGTTGGCGTTACAGTGACGTCGACCCTTTACGGTAAAAGGGAAACCTATTTACCCACCACGCTTATTACTACGATGTTTGAACAGTTAGGATTTTTGTTCTCGTTTTTGGAGTATCGAGCACAGCCGTGTACTATTATCAGTCCCGCAATGGATAGTACTAGACGTCCCGCCATCGTTAGTTCCGCGCATTTCGTCCGCCGATCGCATTGCGCCTATGCGCGGAGTTTCCGCGCTCTTGCGCTGCTCGCGCTGCTCGTCGCCGCCGCCTGCCCCCGCGCGGCATCTGCTGGCTCCGCGCAGGGTGGAAATCGCGCCGCCTGGTTGCGCGGGCGGGTGCTGCGGCGACAGATAGCGCAATCGCAGCCTCAACAGGCACGACATTTCCCCCTTGCCCCCGGGCGTGTTGCCGCAAGTTCCGCCCCCCTTGCCCCTTGCGCCACTTGCCCCTTGCCGCTTGCGCCGCTTGCCCCTTGCCGCTTGCGCCGTTGCTCATGTCCTTGCCCGTTGCGCCGCTTGCCCCTTTCCGCTTGCGCCGTTGCTCATGTCCTTGCCCGTTGCGCCGCTTGCCCCTTGCCGCTTGCGCCGTTGCTCATGTCCTTGCCCGTTGCGCCGCTTGCCCCTTGCCGCTTGCGCCGTTGCTCATGTCCTTGCCCGTTGCGCCGCTTGCCCCCTTGCTCCTTGCTCTTTGGCGCTTGCCCCCTTGCCGCTTTGCCCGTGCCCCTTCCCCCTTTCCCTACCCTTCCCCCTTTCCCTACCCTTCCCCCTTGCCCTACCCTTCCCCCTTGCGCTACCGTTGCCCCTTGCGCTACCGTTGCCCCATGTCCCCTACTTTTTCTCGCGCCTCCTTGCCCTGTGCCCCTCGCCCCCGTGCCCACCCAACGAGGCCGCCTGTCGAGGCAAGGCCTCCCCTGCACGGGCAGTGAAAGGCCTCGTCTTCCGCTTCCCTGCGCCATGCCCCACGCCTTTGCGCCATGCCCAATGCCTTTGCGCCATGCCCAATGCCTTTCCGCCATACCCTGCGCTCCCATCCGCCCCCGTGCATGCAGGTTCACATGTCGCTGGCCGGTGGTGGGGCGAGTGCTGGTGTGGCGGGTGACGGCTGGCAACACACCAGCCTCTGCCCCGTGCCTTTGCGCCATGCCCGTGCCTGTGCGCCATGCCCGTGCCTCGGCTGCGCCTCCCCCTCTCCTCCCCTCCCCCTCTACCCCCCTCTCTCCCCCGCGCATGCACGTGCACGTGTTACTGGCGAGCGGCGGCCGATTGCTGGTGTGGTGGGGTGGGTGACAGCTGGCAGCATGCTGGCAACAGTGGAGTATAGGGAGAGCCGCGGCGTGTTTTGAGTCGACTCAAAATTCCCCTCCGCTACCCTCTCCCCCCACCACGCATGCAGGTGCACGTATTGCTGGGAGATGGCACGCGAGTGCTGACGTGGCGCGTGACAGCTGGCAACACATCGGCTTCTGAGTTGACTCAGAACTCCCCTCTGCTTCCCCCTCCCCCGCGCATGCAGGTGCACGTGTCACTGGCGGGGGGCGGCCGAGTGCTGGTGTGGTGGGTGACAGCTGGCAACACACCAGCCAGTGTGGAGTATGGGGAGAGCCGCGGCCAGTACACCAAAACGGCCTCCGGGATTGTGTCTCGTTACAAGCTCAACGGATACACGTACGAGTGATGCGTTCCCCGCTTCTCTCTGCCCTTGGTCCCTCTCTTCCTTCCCTCCTCTCCCTGCATGCTGGCATGCCGCCATCCAATCCCCACGTCCCTTTGCTGCTCTCACATTATCCATGCCTTTTACCACGTCATACATGCTCTTGTACCACGTCATACATGCTCTTGTACCATGACATACATGTTCTGGTGCCACGTCACCCCACTTCATCAATGCCTTGTTGCCACGTCATCATCCCTGCCATGCCGCCCGCAAGCAGGTCGGGGTACATCCACAAGGTGCTGCTGGGGCGGCCCTTGAAGGACGGCGTTTTAAAGCCCACCACCACCTACTTCTACCGCCTGGGAGGCGCGGGGGCCGAGAGGGCCTTCAAGACGCCGCCGCTGCCGGGGAAGCCCATCAACGTGGCGCTTGTAGGTGGGTGGCCCCTCTACCTCGTGGGTGGGTGTCCCCCCTGTCGAGGAGAAAAGGCCCCGCCCTCGCTTGGGCGAAGTCGGCCATGCTTTTCGGAGCACAACGGTGTTCGTTTCGTGGTCATCGGCGACTTCAGGGACTTTTATCTCTGAACGACGGGTCGGTTTTCGACGAGATTACTTCGTCGAAATTGAAGTGCTGTTTCTGCTCTACACAACTGCCCCTCGACGAGGCACTTGTCGAGGGGAGCAAAACGGCGTCGAAATCGAGCCTTGCGGGTCGACGAAATGGTAGAAAACAGCGTTTCGACGAAACGCTGGTCGACAGAATTAAGCTCGAAACAGGCACCGTCGAGCAGAGCGTTGCTGGTCGACAAAAGTACTTGTCTCCGAAATTCGCAATGTGCGCGAATTTCGACCAATCGCGAAACAGCAAATTTCGACCAATCAGAGAATTTCGGAAATTGTACTCCCCAGGAGAATTCGAATCAGTAAGGAAACTGAACCTGAAACAGTAAAAACGTAAACAACTCTGAAAGCTGTAAACCTGAGAAACTGCCAACTCAGGTGAAAGACACATGTGCTTGTCGTTTCACCTGCCGTTGCTGACTCGGATAAGTCAGGTGTTAGCCGAGGAACGTTTCTCTAGGGTTCATTGTTCTTGCTATTTGGTTCTCCTTGCTTGTACCATAATCTTGTTCTATCAATTTCTGCTAGTGGAACTATGCTTGAATTCTACCAAGGCATCTAAGTTCACTCCTGAGAATCACTGCCAGAACTCTGACTGTGTGTCCCACGCTAGTCAAGCTCTCCCTTAGATTAGAATTCTCCGCATGGTGCGGTGAGCGTGGAACGAACACGCGACCTTCAGATAGGAGCCGACTCTTGCGTTAATTACCTAAGTTGTCTGTAGGCCGGCAACCGTCTAGACCGCGATGGACGACCAGGAGGAGGTCGCTGCAGGCGTAGAGGATACCCTGCAGGCGCGGTTAGAAGACGTTCGGGCACGCCACGCAGCTGGCGAGTACGGCGGAGCAACCTTGGAGGTTATGCTCTTTGGAACCCGCGTGCAGTGGGCGCGCGAGCATCCAACGACCCGTACTGAGGCGGATGGACTGCCCGCCACTCCCCGACCGGCACGCAACGAAGGCGGCGTCGACGACCAGGTCGACGGCGGTGACCAAGTCGGCAGTGAAGGAGGCAGTACAAGGCGTCGTGGAGTGATTCGGGTCGCCGACGTCGGTGTCGGCGGAATGGAGGTGCGATTTCAGCGCTCGGCGGTAGCGGGAAGCTCGAACGGCAACGCCAATGGCCGAAGTCAATCTCCCTTGCAGAGTGGAGTCAGACCGACGTCGGCAACTCATGCGTCGGCCGGTCGGGACGGAGGCATCGCGCCGGCGTACGGATATTTCAAGTTTTCGCCGGACAAGATTGCCGTGCCGAAGCTGCTCGAAGGTCGCCACGACTTGATCACATGGATTGAGTCCATCGAGCCGCAGCTGGAGATCGCCGGATTGAAGAAGTTCGTCGACGGCAATGTTGCGACGCCGGACGCAGACGACTCTGAACTCTGGGCGGAATTTCGCGCTGCTCATCTACTAACCTTCATGGTCATTTCGAGGTGTTGTTCGCCTCTGGTGCAGGTCGCATTGACGTCGTGCAGACAACAGGTGGATGCTGGCTACCAAGCGTGGCAGTACATTATGCGCACCTACAAGGCGACCGACGACCTTTACATCAGCCAGCTGGAGAGGAAATTGGCCAACATTCGCATGGGCGAGCAGGAATCGGCGACCGAGTACTGCAATCGAGCGCGGCGAATTTTGGCCGACATGCGGATGGCTGGTTTCGAGTACTCGGTGGCGTCGTATGTCACGCATGTCATCAATGGCCTCCCCTCGAGCTACAATCTGATGCGACGGATGCTGATAATGCCCGGCACGCGCGAGACTCTGAACGAGGATTCGCTTTCGAGTCACATCATCCAGGACGAGTTTATGCAGGAGTCTGAGCGGTCTTCAGAGCTCCTTCCGCAGGCTAACTATGTCGCTCCGGCGAAGCAGGGACGTCAGACGGGGCAGCGTGGGAAGTCGGGCGGAGGTGGAGGCGGCGGCGGCAAGTCGTCGAACACCAAGTCTACAGAGGGCGCCGACCGCGGGAAGTCGGCGAAGGGCACTGATCGCGGAAGCAGTGGTTCGCGTCGAGGAGGACGCCGCTGCTACATTTGCGGAGACCCTGACCATCTCTCGTATGACTGCCCTGACCGCGATGAGTCTGACGACGATCAGAGAGGAAGCCGTGGAAAGTCGGAAAACGCTCGTCGATCAGAGGATGGGAAGTCTGACAACGATCGTCAGCGTCGAGACAACAAGTCGCGGAAGGAGAAGCCTGCGTCGTCGAAAACGCCGTCGACATCAGAGGCTGGTACCTCGAGCGGAAAAGAAGCCTCTTGTTCGATGGTTGGCGTGGTCGAGCCAACAATTTCGCTGGCGCCGGAGGCTGGCGAAGACTTCCAGGCGGTCGCAGCAGCCGTGCAGGCGAATCCAACGGTGGTCCTCCTCGACAGTGGCTGCTCCCATCATCTGATGGGAACACGAGAGGCCTTCGTCGAAATGAAGCCAGGAGGAGAAATCCGTCACGTGCGCGGATTCAACGGGGCGCTTCAGAACGTCGAAGGCCGTGGCACAGTTGCTCTGAAAGGGGAGACTGGGAAGCAGATTCTCATCCCCAACGTGTTGTACGTTCCGGGCGTGCACGCGAATCTACTGTCTGCTGGTCAGCTGAAGGAAAACGGCGTGAAGCTGCAGAACGAGGGTGACGAGATGCTGCTCGTTTCCTCTGCAGGAGATGTGCTCGGTCGAGCACGCTACACCGGCCGGGTCCTCTGCACCGACCTCCGCCCCTGCTCCTCGAAATCGACGACATCTTCGGCTGAGGCAGTTGCTCTGCGGACGATCGCATCTGCGACGAAGTCGACGCTAGACAAGTGGCACCCGAGGCTCGCGCACGTCGGCATTGACACGATTAAGAGTTCGGCGAAGCATGGTGTTGCCGTCGGTCTGGACATCCAGAAGTCGACCGGAGTCGACCTGCCGTGTGCCTCCTGTGTCGGAGGGAAACTAGCGCGACATACTTTTCCAGAGAAGGGATCGGACGCTGAAACCGCGCTCGAAGTCGTGCACATTGACCTCTGCGGCCCCTTCCGTGTGGCTGCTGCGGATGGGAGCCTCTATTTCCTCCTCCTCAAGGACCGCAAGACCCGCTTTGTGTGGGTCCGCCCGATCGCGAAGAAGAGCGATGTGCTGGTCGTTTTCGAGAAGTGGCTGAAGGAAGTGGAGCGGCAGACTTCGAAGTCGGTGAAAAGGCTGCGCTCTGACCGCGGAGGGGAATTCCTCGGCCGGGCCTTCACCGATCTCGTCGAGGACAAGGGTATCCTCCACAACCTCACGTGCCCCTACACTCCGCAACAGAATGGCATGGCGGAGCGGGAAATGCGCACGGTCGTCGAAGCTGTGCGGACGATGCTGCTTCACATGGGGGTGAAGCATCACTGGTGGCACCTCGCCCTTCGCCACGCCGTCTGGGTGCGCAACTGCCTCGAACGGGCTTCACTTCCTCCGGGGACAACGTCGTACGAGCTGCCGTTCGAGAAGCCGGATCTCACGCTGGTGCGCGTGTGGGGCTGCATGGTGCAGTTCATGATCCCAGAGCAGCAGCGCGGCGGAAAGTTGGCACCGAAGGCCCGCTGGGGAATTCACCTCGGAGTTTCGCCGGAGAGCAAGGGATGGGAGGTGCTCGACCTCACCGCCAACCGCATTGTCACAACCGTGGAGGCAATCTTCTATGAGGCGATGTCTCTGGAGGAGTGGAAGGTGGAGCACGGGCCCGCGTCAGAGCGGACGAAGTTTTCTCCGCCGACGGGTCCGTTGCCAGCGGCGATTTCGTTGCTCGAATCCGAGGACGATGGTGCCTCTGCAGATCCTTCTCCCTCCATGCCGCCCTCTTCGAAACCTCCTCCTCCTCTTCCCGTCTCCCCCCCATCGCTCGCCCCCGGCCTGCCTAAGTCGGCATCATCGTCGGCCGCCAGCGATGAGGGGAGCATTGGTGTGTCACCTTCGGCTCCGCCCATTGGCATCGCTGGCGGTCGACATGATCTGGTCAGCGAGCAAGTCGGCGCCGGAGTGAAGTTTCCACCAACAGGGGAGACGTCGAACGGGAAGCGCGTTTCAGAGAAGCTGCCGACAGGGGAGACGTCGAACGGGAAGCGCGTTTCAGAGGAGCCATCGACAGGAGAGCCATCGAACATGGAGCGCATTTCAGAGGAGCCGTCGACAGAGGATCCGTCGAACGAGGAGCTCACTTTTAAGGAGCGAACGAAAGGGGAGCAGTTCGACGATGGCACATCGAGCGACGTTGTTGAAGTCATCGGCAGCGATAAAGGGGAGCCATCGGCCAAGGAGCAGTCCAGCAGCGACAGCGACGTGGTGAAAGTCTCGGTCGACAAGCCTGCAATTCGACGTTCCACCCGCTCCAACTTTGGCAAGCCTCCCGAGAAGCTGAGCTACCATGCTTGCCTGCCGCCGACCTCCTACAGCACTCTGCTCGATGATGCGCAGTTCGACGTCAACGTACCCGAGCTCGATCCCGATATGCACGCCGATCCAGAGCACCGCTGGGACATCGCTAACATGACAGTGAAGGAGGCGTTGGCGAGCTGGAAGGGCAAGGCGGTGAAGGCCGCCATGGACGAGGAGATTCGAAGTCTCATCACCAACGGCACTTGGGAGCTGGTGGAGCGCCCGCGCGGCGTCAATGTCATGAAGAACCGCTGGGTACTGACGACGAAGTACCATGTCGACGACACGGTTGCCCGCGAAAAAGCGCGCCTGGTGGTGAAGGGCTTCACGCAGGTCTACGGAGCTGATTACGACGAGACGTACGCTCCAGTCGGGAGCTACGTTACGCTACGGATTTTCCTTAGCATCGTCGCCGTCCTCGATCTGCACCTCATGCAGTTAGACATGAAGAATGCGTTTCTACAGAGCAAGCTCGATCGCGTGCTCTACATGGACCAGCCGGCTTACTACAACGATGGTACCGGCCGAGTATGCAAGCTGCTGAAGAGCCTGTACGGGCTGAAGCAGAGCCCTCTGCTGTGGTACTCTGCGCTCGACGCTGTGCTGACTGGCGCTGGTTGGAGCAAGAGCCAGGTCGACGAGGCCCTCTATTTCCGAGTTGGCGACGACGGAGTGGCGTGCTGGGTGCTCGTCTACGTCGACGACCTGCTCGCCGCCAGCAGCAGCACCGCGATGCTGAAGGAGCTAAAGGAGCTGCTGGAGGCTGCCTTTGAGCTGCGCGAGATCACCCCGGTCGAGAAGTACTTGGGGCTCGAAATCGTGCGTGACCGTCCGGCGCGGAAGCTGTGGCTTCACCAGCAGTCCTATGTCGACAAGCTGCGTAGGCGCTTCATCGACGAGGAGCAGACTGGTCGGCGTCCGAAGACACCTGTTTCCGTCGACGCGTATGCCGAGCTGACTTTCGACGACGATGACTTTCAGTCGCGCGAAGAAGAGGAGTATCGTCAGAAGGTCGGTTCGCTGCAGTTCGCTGCCACAACAACTCGGCCCGACATCGCTTTTGCGTGCAGCAAGCTGGGATCTGGTCTGACGGTGAGGAGCGACAACCACTGGCGTGAGGTCGATCGCTGCCTCAACTATCTGTCGGACACGCGTGATGTTGCTCTGGAGTTCGGAGGAGGACCGGAGACTCTGACACTGGTCGGCTACGCGGACGCTGACGACGCAGGCGACAAGCAGAATCGCACTAGCACAAGTGGCTACGTTTTCACCTTCGGCGGCGCAGCTGTCTCTTGGACGAGCCAACGCATTAAGTGCGTGACTCTGTCCTCTACGGAGTCAGAGTACATCGCGGCCAGCGACTGAAGCGGCCAAGGAGGCTCGTCGACTTCGATTCCTCCTCGCCGAGTTCCAGCTCCTCGATGCTGGGACGCCAACTACTCTGAACGTGGACAATCAGTCCGCCATCGCGGTCGCTGAGGGCTTGGGGCTGAAAGGCAACCTCAAGCACATGGAGCGACGCTACGCCTGGCTGCAGCAGATGGTGAAGCGCAAGAAGGTTGCGCTGGAATACATCCCAACATCCGAGCAGCCGGCGGACTTCCTCACAAAGGGTCTGCACTTTCCGGCCTTCAACCGGTGCTCTATCGCGATCGGCCAGGTTCGCCTTGCCGCAGTCGGCGACAACGACGACGTGCAGCAGTAGGTGCCATGTCCTCTAACATGGCTGGTGCGGTGGTCGGCGTGCGGGAGTGTGCACGCCAGAGAAATGTCCCCTTGTATTTTATTAGCTAGGTTCTGGGTGGACCTTGTGTGTGGGTGCCCAAGCGTGAGCTGGGCAGGGGAGTGTCGAGGAGAAAAGGCCCCGCCCTCGCTTGGGCGAAGTCGGCCATGCTTTTCGGAGCACAACGGTGTTCGTTTCGTGGTCATCGGCGACTTCAGGGACTTTTATCTCTGAACGACGGGTCGGTTTTCGACGAGATTACTTCGTCGAAATTGAAGTGCTGTTTCTGCTCTACACAACTGCCCCTCGACGAGGCACTTGTCGAGGGGAGCAAAACGGCGTCGAAATCGAGCCTTGCGGGTCGACGAAATGGTAGAAAACAGCGTTTCGACGAAACGCTGGTCGACAGAATTAAGCTCGAAACAGGCACCGTCGAGCAGAGCGTTGCTGGTCGACAAAAGTACTTGTCTCCGAAATTCGCAATGTGCGCGAATTTCGACCAATCGCGAAACAGCAAATTTCGACCAATCAGAGAATTTCGGAAATTGTACTCCCCAGGAGAATTCGAATCAGTAAGGAAACTGAACCTGAAACACGTTTTTACTAACAGTAAAAACGTAAACAACTCTGAAAGCTGTAAACCTGAGAAACTGCCAACTCAGGTGAAAGACACATGTGCTTGTCGTTTCACCTGCCGTTGCTGACTCGGATAAGTCAGGTGTTAGCCGAGGAACGTTTCTCTAGGGTTCATTGTTCTTGCTATTTGGTTCTCCTTGCTTGTACCATAATCTTGTTCTATCAATTTCTGCTAGTGGAACTATGTTTGAATTCTACCAAGGCATCTAAGTTCACTCCTGAGAATCACTGCCAGAACTCTGACTGTGTGTCCCACGCTAGTCAAGCTCTCCCTTAGATTAGAATTCTCCGCACCCCCCCCCCCCCCCCTCGTGTCTTAAAGCCCACCACCACCTACTTGTACCGCCTGGGAGGCGCGGGGCCCGAGAGGGCCTTCAAGACGCCGCCGGCATCGTCCCAGCCCATCAGCGTGGCGCTTGTGTGGGTGGGTGTGGCTTGAGCCGTGGTTTGGGACAGGGTGGGTTGTGGCAGCAGTGTGTGGGTCAGGTAACGTGTGTGTTTGACTGTGCTGGGTGTGTTATAGCTTGTGCTGTACTGCTGCTGCCGTGCCAGCCCATCAGCGTGGCGCTCGTGGGTGCGCTATGCTTGTGTGTGTTTGACGGGCGACAAGCATCTCACCCGTTATGCTTGTGTGTTGGGTGAGCTGTGTGTTGGGTGAGCTGTGTGTTGGGTGAGCTGTGTGTTGGGTGAGCTGTGTGTTGGGTGAGCTGTGTGTTGGGTGAGCTGTGTGTTGGGTAAGCTGTGTCTACATCTGTGGCTTGGGACAGGGTGGGCCTCGCTGCTGCTTTGTGTGTAGCTGTGTTGTGGTTTGGGGACAGGGGATGTGGGTGGGCGGGGTGGCAGTAGATACATCACCCGCCTCTCGTGCCGCCCCACTCTTTCTCTCTCAACACACAACAACTCCCCTCTCTCCAACCCTCCCTCCTTCTCCCAAACCCGCCCCCCTCTCCTCCCGCATCCCCTCCCCCTCCCCACTCCCCCCCCCCCCTCCCCCCACCAGCGGACATGGACTCTACATCAGCAGCAGCCGCCACCATCGCTCGCCTCTCCCGCACCCCCCACGCCCTCGTGGTCTTCCCAGGGGACCTCTCCTACGCCAACGGCTACCAACCAGATTGGGACAAGTGGCAGGCGCTCATCCAGCCTGCCGCATCTCTCCGCCCCTGGATGATGGGTGCGGGGAACCACGAGGACGAGGCTGATGAGGGCGCGCCCAGCTTCAACCCCTTCAAGGCGTACAACGCGCGCTGGCCCATGCCCGCTGCTGCCAGTGGGTCGCCTTCAAACCTCTTCTACTCGTTTGACAGCGGCAGCATCCACTGGGTGGTGCTGTCGTGCTACTCCGACTACACCCAAGGGTCTGCCCAGTACAAGTGGCTCCAGGTGTGCTGCGAGTCTCTCTGAACGTGAATGTTGGCGTTGGCGGGGTGTGCATGTGTCTGCTGCTGCCAGAAGGTCGCTCTAGAACCTGTACTACTCGTTTGACAGCGGCAGCAACCACTGGGTGGTGCTGTCGTGCTACTCGGACTATTCACAGGGATCTGCTCAGTACAAGTGGCTGCAGGTATGTTGCTAGTGAGTCGGCCTTTGTGCTTGCCAGCATACTGCTCCCTCTGTCCTCGCTGGTGCTGTCCTCGCTGGTGCTGTCCTCGCTGGTGCTGTCCTCGCTGGTGCTGTCCTCGCTGGTGCTGTCCTGCCCTGCAGGGACCTGCTCAATACAACTGGCTGCAGGTGTGCTGCGAGTCTCTGTGTGCGAGTCTCTCTCTGCGAGTCTCTCAATACCCCCTTTCCTCCCTTCTCCCCTCTCCCCTCTTCCCCCCTCCCCCCTGCCCCCCCCTTCCCCCCTTCCCCCCTCCCCCCCCCCTCCCCTTCCCTTAACATACAGGCGGACCTAGCCAAGGTGAACCGCAAGGTGACGCCGTGGTTGATAGCAGCGTTCCACGAGCCGTGGTATCACAGCAACAAGGACCACCAGAAGAGCGGCGAAGACATGCGCGTGGCGCTCGAGAAGATGCTGTATGATGCGCACACGGACGTGGTGGTGTGTGGTCACGTGCATTCCTATGAGCGCACGGTGAGTTGCGGGGAACGTGAGGGACGGCAATTGTGAGGAACATGAGCGCACGGTGAGTGTGAGGGGCCTTAGAAGGTGCCTGGCGCTGGAGAAGATGCTGTATGATATGATGCCCTCATGGCCGGGCGACGCATGCACGTGCCTGCGCAGTGCATGGAGAGTGGCAGTGCATGGAGAGTGGCATTGCATGGAGAGTGGCAGTGCATGGAGAGTGGCAGTGCATGGAGAGTTGCCTTTGGGGTGTGGTGAGTTGCCTTTGGGGTGTGGTGAGTTGCCTTTGGGGTGTGGTGAGTTGCCTTTGGGGTGTGGTGAGTTGCCTTTGGGGTGTGGTGAGTTGCCTTTGGGGTGTGGTGAGTTGCCTTTGGGGTGTGGTGAGTTGCCTTTGGGGTGTGGTGAGTTGCCTTTGGGGTGTGGTGAGCAGATGCTGTGTGCTGTGAGGGATGATGTGCCACGAGGGATGATGTGCCATGAGGGATGATGTGCCATGAGGGATCATGTGCCATGAGGGATCATGTGTTGTGAGGGATCATGTGCTGTGAGGGATGATGTGCCATGAGGGATGATGTGCCATGAGGGATCATGTGCCATGAGGGATGATGTGCCATGAGGGATGATGTGCCATGAGGGATGATGTGCCATGAGGGATCATGTGCACTTGTCGCTCGGGACAGCGAGCGTCACATGAAGGATGGTGCATGTGGCATCGTGCATGGTGATTGCATAGAGCATTTCAGGCCCATGCCATGCTCTCACGCCCATGCCATGCTCCCCTCCCTTTGTCGCCACTCCCCTCCCCATGTCCGCTCGTATCCTCTTCCCCACTCTCTTCTCAACCTCGACTCTGCTATGCTGCATCTCAACCTCTACAGTGCTATGCTGCATCTCAATGCTGCTGTTTGCATGCTTCTTGGATGAATTTGATTGGATGTCTTCTGCCATTGCATGCGTCTCCCCACCATCACATTCCCCAGGTGCCTCTCTACAACAACGCCCAGGACCCCTGTGGCATGGTGCATCTCACTGTTGGCACCGGTGGGGCCGACCTTTACACAAGGTAACTCGATTCAAGGTGCAGATGCATTTATAGAATCTTATTCACACGCACACACGCAGAGGCCCACACACACTCACACGCACGCGCGCATGCATATATTAATGTGTATAGGCGCGCACTGCCACTGTACTTTGCATAAGGCACTGCCACACTGTATTTTGCACAAGGCACTGCCACACTGTATTTTGCACAAGGCACTGCCACACTGTATTTTGCACAAGGCACTGCCACACTGTATTTTGCACAAGGCACTGCCACACTGTATTTTGCACAAGGCACTGCCACACTGTATTTTGCACAAGGCACTGCCACACTGTATTTTGCACAAGGCACTGCCACACTGTATTTTGCACAAGGCACTGCCACACTGTATTTTGCACAAGGCACTGCCACACTGTATTTTGCACAAGGCACTGCCACACTGTATTTTGCACAAGGCACTGCCACACTGTATTTTGCTTCTCACTGACCGAATCTCCACACACTTCTCGTTTCCGCTTCGTCCTCCTTCACTCCTTGTCAATCAAGTGCAAACAGTCTCACTTTCCTTCTCTTGTCCTCCTTTCTTTCCCACTCCAATCCTCCCACCCCCCACTCCTCCTCACCCTCCCCGCCCTCCTCCTGGGCTTGAAATCCCTCCTTCTTCCCCCCACTTCCCACCCTCCCCCTCAACGCTCGGTTTCCTCTCCCCCAAGCCTGCCTGGTCGATGTGACTTTTAAGGCGCCTAAAAAACCCCCCCTCCTCCCCCCTCCCCCTCAACGCACAGTTTCCTCTCCCCCAAGCCTGCGTGGTCGGCCTTCCGCCAGGCAGCGTATGGGTTTGGGGTGCTGTCAGTGGGAGGGGGCGCCAATAAGGGCGAGGCGGTGTGGAGGTGGAGGAGGAACAGCGATGCAGCGGGGGTGGTGGCAGATGAGGCCAGCATCATATCGCATGCCAGCAGCAAGGCTCCTGCGCAGTGCCGGGCATGACCCTTCATGTGCCGGGTGTGACTGATCCAAGAGCCGCACAGGGTGTGGCAGAAGCACAGGGTGTGGCAGAAGCACAGGGTGTGGCAGAAGCACAGTTGGGGCAGAAGCACAGGTGGGGCAGAAGCACAGGTGGGGCAGAAGCACAGGTGGGGCAGAAGCACAGGTGGGGCAGAAGCACAGGTGGGGCAGAAGCACAGGTGGGGCAGAAGCACAGGTGGGGCAGAAGTGGAGGTGGGGCAGAAGCACAGGTGGGGCAGAAGCACAGGTGGGGCAGAAGCACAGGTGGGGCAGAAGCACAGGTGGGGCAGAAGCACAGGTGGGGCAGAAGCACAGGTGGGGCAGAAGTGGAGGTGGAGGAGGGGGAGGAATGTGATGTGATGTTAAGTGAACCCCCACGCAAGGAACTTGCAGTCCGGCACATGTAGTGTGGAGTGGGGTATAGGTGCTAGTGTTTGCTGTTTAGAGGCCAGCTGCTGGTGGAACAAATAGGTTGCTGTTCCTGTTTGTCATGCCGTGATGCTGCCAGAAGTTTGGTTGGAGCCCATGGGTTGAGTGGGTGAGTGAGTCACAAGCCACCTGACTGAGGCTGGTTGCTGTTGGCAAACACAAGCTAGCACCATCACATTTTTACGGAGTGAACCAGATTTGCGAACACTGTTGACATCTTGCGGTACGGTAGTTGTTACTGAACCCGCTCAAAACCATTGGCGAGATCTGCGCGCAGTCTACTCTACACACCCTTGCGGCCGTTCGTGTGTACTCCATCAACATGCGTGGTTTTGTCAGTTGTTGTAGCCTGTAGTGAGGTTTGTCTTAGGGGGTACAGATGTTAGGGTTTGCTATATGTACCCCAACTCACATCAATGCACACATCATTTAGTTTCTAACATGGTATCAGCTAGGTTAGGATCCTGTGGGATCCCACTCCTATCATCCACGTTCGTTCCACCCGAGCCTGTCTCGTTCCGTAGTCCTAGTCGCGCCTATCTCGCCCGCGCCTAGCGCCAGCCGTCTCTCTCGTTCGTTAGCGCCCGCTGCGCCTTCTACGTAGCGTCGCGTTCCCCCCCCCCCCTGCCCGTCCGTCCCCCGCGCTTCCCCCTGCCCATCCGTCCCCCTCGCTTCCCCCTTCCAGTCCGTCCCCCGCGCTTCCCCCTGCCCGTGCGTCCCCCGCGCTTCCCCCTGCCCGTTCGTCCCCCTCGCTTCCCCCTCCCCATCCGTACCCCGCGCTTCCCCCTGCCCTTCCCGTCGCCCGCGCTTCCCCCTGCCCGTCCCGTCACGCGCGCCTCCTCTGCCCGTCCGTCGCGCGCGCCTACCCTGTCCGTCTGTCACTCGCGACCGCCCGTTACGCCCGTCGCGGGCCGTCCCTTCGCGCTGCCGCGCCTGCTCGTAAGCCCGCCGCCGCTGTTGAAACTAATAGACAGGAATGACTTGCATTGAATGAAACGTGGGTACAAGTACTAACCCTAACTTTGGGTTGTACCCCATATGGGCTTACCCACTATAGCCTACACAGAACTAGCACATATATATTTTGACACACACCCACAAGCAAAGTGGGGAGAACAAGGGGTCACAAGACCAGTCAAGAGAGGTAAAGCAAGCTCAGGGTGGATCACAACGTCACCACACACTTCGAGCACAAGCAAAGGGCTACAAGGCCAGTTCACATGCAGAGGTATATAGAACAAAGCGAGCAGTACAGTGATCACTAGGCACGAGAGAACGTAGGCACGAGGACGAGAGCAGTGCACTGACACTGATGATCACTAGGCGGAAGTGCCTTGGTGAATATATCAGCTGTGTTGGCCCGCGTGTCCACGTAAGCAAGACGAAGCTGGCCACGCTGCTGCAGCTCTCGAGCAAGAAAGTAACGCAGAGCAATATGCTTTGTTCTGTTCTCCAGTCTGTGCTCCTCACACAAGGCGAGGGCCGCCTTGTTGTCGCCGTACAGAACTGGAGGAGAACGAGGTCGCTCTCCCAAGTCGGTTAGCAGGTAGGTGAGCCAGCGAAGCTCCTGTGCAGCCATGGCTGTGGCGTAGATCTCAGCCTCACAACTGGAGCTGAGAACAGAAGAAGAGCGGGTGGACCGCCAAGAGACAGAGCCGGAACCAAGGCTGAAGGTGTAACCCTGTGACGACCGCTGTGTAGCCAGGTCGTCAACCCAAGAGGCGTCTGAGTGTCCAGTGAGGACAACGTCACCCCGTCCTCCAAGCACCAGCCCCATGCCTGATGTACTGCACAAGTAGCGCAGCACCCTCTTAGCAGCCTTCCAGTGCTCTCACCTGTATCTCCCAGGCGCAACGTAGCGAGCAAGGATGCTAAGAGGGTACGCAAGGTCAGGTCGAGTGCAGGTCATCAGGTACATGAGGCAACCCACAAGCTCTGGATACGGGCCACTCGGCTCTACGGACTCGTTCGAAGGTGGAGCTGAGAGCGAGTGACGTGTAGACAGAGGAGTGGACTGTGGTGAGGAGTACTGGAAGTCGAAGCGCTGAAGGATCTGCTGCACCATGTGTGACTGGGTCAGGGTAATGGTGCGGCGTGCTTTGTCCCGGGTGATCTGCAAGCCAAGGTAGCTGCGCAGCTCACCCAGGTCTGTGCACGTGTGTCTCTTCTGCAGCTCTGACTTCACAAGGGCAAGTGCCTCAGTGTCAGCAGTGGCAAAGACCAAGTCGTCGACGTACACGAGGATGTAGAACGGCGGCAGAGAAGTGTCGGTGCGCAGAAACAACGACGGGTCAGCAGTGGAGGGAGCAAACCCAAGAGCCGCAAGCTTGGTCCTCAGTGTGTCGTGCCACTCACGAGGCGCCTAGCGGAGACCGTAGACTGGCCGCCGGAGGCTCCACTTGGTACCAGGAGGGAACGACCCAGTGAAGCTAGGTGGGCGGCGCAGCCAGATCTCCTCGTGCAGGCTGCCCTGTAGGAACGCTGTGCTGAAGTCAAGAGAGTGAAGCTCGTAGTCACGCTGAGCGGCAACGTGCAGCAGCATCCGAAGAGTGGTCATCTTCGGGGTAGGGGAGAAGGTCTGGAAGAAGTCAACTCCCTGTCACTGACTGAAGCCTCGTGCAACGTAACGAGCCTTGAAGACAGGCGGAGAACCCGGCTGCCGCTTCACCCTGAAAATCCACATGCCATCGACTATCGTCGACGTAGGTGCCTGTAGAGTTCCAGGATGCCATCTCTGCGTCCATGGCTGTTTGCCACTGAGAGGAGTAGGGACCCGAAATCGCCTCTGCGTAAGAGCGCGGGGTCGGGATGTCTAGTGCATCCGGGTCTCCCTCAGGCGCAAGCAGCCAGGCCACGAGATGAGGTACAGCAGCCGCAAGACACTCTGGGTCCTTCTGCCTGTCCTCAAGGACGTCCGTGCCAAGAGCACACTCACCCCCGACGGACGGAGGACAGACAGACTCAGCCTCAGACACAGACTCAGCAACAAGACTGGCGGCGTAGTCTAGACGACACGCAACAGCAAAGTCAACAAGCTCAGCAACTAAGGCAGACGCAACAGTGGACTCAAACGACGGGTCAGTGACGACAGTAGCCATGAGACGCATGACTGTGGGGCTAGCAGCACGAACACGGTCAGACTCAGGGTCAGGAATCTCAGGAAGAGAGGACGCAGGAGGAGACGGCAGAGGGACGCGCTGGGGAACAGAGGAAGGACGAAGTGCCATAGTGTGAGTGCCAAGCACAGAAGGAGGACGCGGACGCGGGACACGACGAGCACGGCGAACAGTGCGAACAGGGGAGGCAGGACGCGACGCATGCTCACGATGCTCTGTAAGCGAGTGTGGCTGCTCAGTGTAAGGAGAAGGAGCAGGCAGTGCAGAGCCGGGCTGTAACGGGAGACCAGTAGAAGACGGAAGGGAAAGAACCTGACGAAGCACGGAGTCAGGCGGCGGGAGAGACGACGGCGTTAGCGGAGTGAAGAACAGTCGCCACTGTGCAGCACCTCCAGCAGCAGTACCGCCAGTGTCCCCAGCATTAGCACCTCTAGCTCCAGCGCCGCTAGCACCAGTACCTCCAGCTCCAGCGTCTCCAGCTCCAACGCCGCCAACACCAGGGTCCCCAGCTCCAGCTCCTCCAACTCCAGCACCGCCAGCTCCAGCACCTCCAGCGTCTACGTCTCCAGAATGAGCTCCACCAGCCCCGGCAGCTCCAGTACCTCCAGTACGAGCACTTCAAGACCAGTAGCTCCAGCTCATCCGGTACCTCCAGCACCAGCGGCTCCAGCTCCAGTGCCTCCGGCTCCAACAGCGTCACTCTGAAGGCGACAGTGGCGAGCGTACCAGTCTTGCAGCTGCTGTGAGGTGAGAGAGGCTCCCGGAGTGGAGACGCAGTACCCCTAGGCGCAGCACCCCCAGACTCAGCACCCCCAGGCTCCGCACGCTCAGGCTCAGCACCCCCAGGCTCAGCACCCCCAGACTCAGCACCCCCAGGCTCAGCACCCCCAGGCTCAGCACCCCCAAGCTCAGCACCCCCAGGCTCAGCACCCCCAGGCTCAGCACCCCCAGGCTCAGCACCCCAAAGGCTCCGCAGTCGTAGGCTCAGCACCCCCAGACTCAGCACCTCGAGCAGCACCCCCCCCAGCAGCACCCGAGTCACCAGTGACCTCGACAGGCTCAACCAAGGGGAGTGGGTCTACCTGAGACACACCTAAAGGAGCAGGACCAGGAGGGGGGAGGGGTTCTACTGGAGGGGGACCTGGAGCGAGGAAGAGCGGCGGTGGCGGGGGAGGATCAGCGCGGTAGGGGAAGAGACGGTAAAAGGGAACCGACTCGTCAAACGTGACGTCCTGAGAGGGGAAAACCCGTCGCGAGGTAGTGTGGTAAAACTGCCATCCAAGCGCATCCGGGACAAAGCCAAGGAAGACGCAGGGATTGGCACAAGCGGAGAGCTTGTCCGCGGTGGTATCGCGGACAAAGGCACGAGAGCCCCAGACCCGGAACCGCGACGCATCGCCAACCTTCCCCGTCCAACGCAGTGCGGGCGAGGTCTCCGGCAAGGAGACACGGGGCCAGAGGTTGAGCTGATGCGCAGCGTACCGGACCGCAAACGGCCACAGAAAATGGGGAGCAGCCGCATGGATCATGGAGGTACGAGCGACCTCCATGACTAAGCCAATGCGGCGCTCAGCAACCCCATTCTGCTGCGGAGAGGCCGGAAGCGTGAACGACTGGAGGATGCCCCCCCCCGTGACAAAAGTCCCGCAAGAGGTCGGAGGAGAACTCACCACCTCTGTCAGAGTGCAGACGCAGGACGGGAAGGTCCGTCTGGACCGCTAGCGGAGCTGGAGACGTACAGCGCGGATCCAAGGGATCAAAACAGCAGGGACCTCACCCTTGCTGCGCAAGGGAAAGAACGTGGTGTAACGCGAGTAGTCGTCAACAACCAGCAGAAAATACCGTTCGCGGCCCTGGCCCTGGACGCGGGCTGGGCCCCACACATCCATGTGGAGAGTCTGCAGGGGAGCAGTCGTCGGGGGAAACGAGGAGGAGTGAGGAGCGGCACGCTGCCGCCCCTCGACGCAAGGAATGCAGGGCGGGGCAGGCGAGGGTGGGAGGGAAGGCAGAGACCTGGGAAGACCAGAGACCAGGAGGCGAGAGTGCATGCCACGAAGGCGTGGCAGGGAGGGGTGACCAAGGCGGTGGTGCCACAGGGGAGTCTAGTGCGACAGACGGTGACACTCGCAGGAGGCTACTAACTGACCTGACGCGGACACCTGAGCAACGTGGCTACAAGAGGCGGTCCAGCGGTCAGTGTGTAGAGACTCGACCCCGGCTGACGGGTGAACATGGCCAGGTGACGGCCAGTCCGGGAGCACGTACAGATCGCCACACGCTGCCCTCCAGGAGTAAAGGTATCAACCCATACATCTTGAAGGACAGCGTTGCTCTCCAAGTTCGTCGAGAACGAGGGGAGGTGGAGGCCTGACAGTGAGCCAGACGGAACCGCTGGACACGGGAGAACAGTGGAGGACTGTGCAAGAACCGGGCCCCTAGAGGGGTCAGCCAGGGAAACTGCGACGGGCCTAGGGAGTGGTGTGAGAGTGGTACTGTCGTGAAAGAAACAGCGGGAAGCACCTGAGTCAAGAGTGAAGGTGTACGAGGCCTCAGCTGGCGCATTTCCAGAGAGAGCAGACTCACTAGCACCTAGAGCGCTATACCTGGGTCTGGTGGCATACACAAGTAACAGTCCCCATCAGCACTAACAGTCAATGCATACATGGCAGCAAGGATAGCATCAAAGTCAAGAGCATAGATATCAATATCGCGCTTAAACTGAACGAGCCAAGCATCGTCAAGGCGGGAGAAGCAGCGGTGCTGGGTGTGAAACTTCCCGCATGTCTGACCAGCGCGGTCCCCAGTGCAAATGACATACGGGCAGCGAGCACTACCCCCAGACGCCCCACGCTGAGCGTACCACTCACGAAGCTGCTGGGGCGTGAGGGGCTCATGCGGACGCTGCTGCTGCTGGCGCTGGCCACCACCAGCACCTCCCCGCTGAACAGCTCCACCACGTCCGCCACCACCGCTGCCACCACCGCCGGTACCACCGCTCCCACTGCCGCCACCACCGCCGCCACCGCCGCCACCGCCACCGCTACCACCACCGCCACCTCCACCACCACTACGCCCACCGCTGCCGCCACCACCGCCACCGAAACCTCCACTCCCGCCACCACCCCCACCGCCACCCCCACCCCCACCGTCTCCGCCTCCACCACCACCCCCCCCTGCTGCCACCGCTGCCACCCTTGCCTCCCCTCCTCTTGCCGCTGCGGCGCTTCCCACCAGGGGCAGAAGCGGCACCGACCTCCTCAGCACCAAGGAAGTCAACAGCAGCAGCAGAGGCGTGGGAGGGGGCAAGGGGGGAGGGGGCACACCCCTCAAAGAGGGGAGTGCGGGGAGTGCCACGAGCAGCACCGACAGCGACCATGTTGGACTCAGCTGCAAGGAGGTGCTTCTCGAGGTCGTCGACTGTGAGGTCGGTGGGGGGGAGGGCTAGAAAGTGGTCCCTGACTACGCGAAGAGAGTCAGGGAGTCGGGTGACTACGAAGTAGAGTGTGATGTACATCGGGGGAGGGTTCTTGTCTAAGAACTCTGCTGGGAGGGCGGCGCGGTAGCGTAGATCACTAGTGAGAAGGTGAGCGATGAGGTCCTCAGCTGTGGCGAAGGAGGATAGCACGGGGAACAGGTAGGGTAGGATAAGGCGGCTGAGAGTAGCAGTGGCTGGGGAAGAGTAGCGAGCGATGACAGCAGTGTACAGTGCCTTAGAAGTTTTGTGCTGGCCAAAGTGAGTGCGTTCGGCTAACGGCAAGTGATTACGAATAGCTAGGCGAGTAGCAGCGTCACGGGTAAGCCACTGTGAGCGAGTGAGGCTGTCAGCTGTGTCTGATGGAGCGACTGAGGTGCCAGATGCGAGGTCAAAGAGGGATACGCCGTCTTTAGCATCAGTCATGAGGTACAGCTGCAGATCTTCGAGCCAGGCATCAAACTCTATCGGACGACCCTCAGGATCAAACGACAGAACGCTGATAGATGCCATGGCCGTTAGAGTAAGATGAACAGCGCACAAGCAGGCAGAGGGTGCGCGTGGAGCTGCAGGAGCAGGGCGCGGGCCGTAAAGGCGGCGTGCAGGGCTGCGGAGGGTGCGCGCGGGTCTGCAGGGGCAGGGCGCGGGTTGCAAAGGCGGCGCGCGAGGCTGCAGAGGGTGCGCGCGGGGCTGCAGGGGCATGGCACAGGCGGTAAGGGCCGTGCGCGGGCAGCGCGCGGGGCTGACGAGGCAGCGGGCGATGCGCGCGCGGGGCTGACGAGGCAGCGGGCGGGCTGCGCGAGCAGCGCACGGGGCCGACAAGGCAGCGGGCGGGCTGCGCGAGCGGCGCACGGGGCCGACGAGGCAGCGGGCGGGCTGTGCGCGGGGCTGACAAGGCAGCGGGCGGGCGGCGCGCGGGGCTGACGAGGCAGCGGGCGAGCAGCGCGCGGGGCTGACGAGGCAGCGGGCGGGCTGCGCGAGCGGCGCGCGGGGCCGACGAGGCAGCGGGCGGGCTGCGCGCGGGGCTGACGAGGCAGCGGGCGGGCGGCGCGCGGGGCTGACGAGCCAGCGGGCGGGCGGCGCGTAGGCAGGGCGGCTAGAGCGTGGGGTAGCAGACGGTGGGCCCTAAAAAAAATTCGGTCCTAGGGACCTACTGCTCTGAAACCATGCTGAAACTAACAGCAGGAATGGCTTGCATTGAATGAAACGTGGGTACAAGTACTAACCCTAACTTTGGGCTGTACCCCATATGGGCTACCCCACTATAGCCTACACAGAACTAGCACATATATAGTTTGACAGCCACGCCTGCTCGTTAGGCCCGTCGTGGGCCCTCCCTTTGCGCCGCCGCGCCTGCTCGTTAGGCCCGTCGCAGGCCCTCTCTTTGCGCCCATCGCGCCTGCGTTTTGCGCCCGCCGCGGGCCTGCACTCGCCGCCCGCCGTCCCTACCCCTACCTGCCCGCCGCGTCTGCCCTTTGCACCAGCCGCGGGCCTGCGTTCTTGCGCTTACCACGTCTTCCCTTTGCGCCTGCCACTGCGCCCTACGGGTCTTGTCGCTTCTGCTTTCGCTATGGCGACCCCTAGGGTCCTTAGTTTTGACGCCGAGGGTAGGCCCCTCGAGTTCTCTGTCTGGCTCCAGCGTGCACAGCGTCTCCTAGAGACTCAGGTGCAGGCAGATGAGTCTCTGTGGGCGCACGCATCCGGTGACCTCCCCGCGCCCCCCGCTCCTGCTACCCTAGGACCTGACGCGACCACTACGGACAGAGAGCGTGCTGCGCGTCAGCGTGCTGACCTGACTGCCTGGCGATCGCGCGACGATGCGGCCTGCATCGCCCTCAGCAGCCAGGGGGTGTGTCAATGTGATATCATGCTTGAAGTAGTTTAAGTGTAGTCATTGTTATAAACCTGTTGGTGGTGCACCACTGTGCTCACCTTCCCTTGAACTATATGTGTATTTTCTTCCATAATGCAATCCTCTTTCCTCTCGATAATCTCGCTGCTCTCGACCCTAGCCTAGGTTTCTCCTAAACCTAGGCTACCTTGATCTTGACATGGTATCCAGAGCTGTAAGATCCTAAGTGCGGAGATAACTACTACAATGGGAGCTAGACTACGGGCTAGGCACGGGTGCTCGTGTGATCTCTGCATTCGTTCCTTAGTCGTTTCCAAGTGCTCACACTACTTGCTAGTTCACAGGGAGAATTGGCAAGAGTTTCACTAGGAAAGGTTGACAACAATGGTACAATGAAGTTGGCAAGACTAGACTACATCAGAGCTAGCATGCAAGCAAGTCTACTGCCAGCGCAGCACGGTCGACCGCGCTCCAGCAGTGCAGAGTCGCGGCTTGCCAACGCTGCAAGTCGACGGCGTGCCAACGTCGCAGGTTGATGGTGTGCCAACGTTGCTCCCGCAGGACAGCAGCGCACCCGCTTCGCAGGTGCTCGCAGATGATTGGCATGCAGTGCCTCGTCACCTGCACAGCGCACACACCAAGTCAACCTGGCGCTGACAACTGCATCTGATCAGCCACGTCGACCTCGGGATACCACCACCGAGGTCGGACTCGCCAACTTCGCCTGGGCGACCGTCGCACTCCTCCGCAGAACCTCGTCACCCAGGTAACCTGGTCGACCGGGCAACCACGTCGACCAGCTGCTCCTGTATGTGCCGGTCGACCTCCCAAGTCGACGGCCACCTCCAGTCGACCTCCCCAGGTCGACCACTATGTTCGGTCGACCACCAGGTCGACTTCACGCCTGGTCGACCAACCACCAAGTCGACCAGAAGGCCTGGTCGACGTACCAGGTCGACCAGAAGGCCTGGTCGACTTACCAGGTCGACCAGAAGGCTTGGTCGACCAACCAGGTCGACCAGAAGGCCTGTCAGCCGACCACCCAAGTCGGCTACCCCAAGTTGGCGTCACCAAGTCGACGCCCTCCGCAGGTCGACTTCCCAGGCCGACCTTCCTGAAGTCGGTGCCATCCTGAAGTCGGCGCACATGCAGTGGCACCCGTGCAGGTCGACTTCCTCGTCGACCAGCTCGCCCACTGCTGCAGGTCGGCTGCACCCCTACACCCGACCACAAAGTCGGCTCCGCCCAAGCGAGGACGGGGCCAACACACAACTCTCGTTGACAACAGCCGCGTTCACGCTTGGCCCCCCAGCCCACACGGCAGTACTTCTCGGAGAAAAGCTCGTCGACGTGCACCTAATACACAGCACGTCGTCCACCGCACCAGCCATGCAAGAGGGCATGGCACCTACTGCTGCACGTCATCGTCGCCGTCGCCCACGTCGGCCAGACGCACTTGGCCGATTGCAACGGAGCACCGGTTGAAGGCCGGATAGTGCAGCGCCTTCGTCAAGAAGTCGGCCGGCTGTTCAGAAGTCGGGATGTACTGCAGCGCAAACTTCCCCCGCTTCACCATGTGTTGCAGCCAGGCCTGTCGCCGCTCCATGTGCTTGAGGTTGCCTGTCAACCCCATGCCTTCGGCGACTGTGATGGCCGACTTGTTGTCCACCCTAAGGACAGTCGGCTTCCCGGCGTCTAGCTGCCGGAACTCTGCCAGGAGGAAGCGAAGTCGGCGTCCCTCCTTGCCGGCTTCGACGGCCGCCACGTACTCCGACTCGGTCGACGACAACGTCGCGCACTTGATACGCTGGCTCGACCAGGAGACCGCGGCCCCTCCGTAGACGAACACGTAGCCACCCGTGCTCGTCCGGTTCTGCTTGTCGCCGGCGTCGTCGGCGTCCACGTAGCCGACTAGCTCCAACGACTCAGGTCCACCGCCGAACTCCAAGGCGGTGTCACGCGTGTTGGCGAGATAGGCAAGGCAGCGGTCCGCCTCGCGCCAGTGCTGGTCGCTCCTCACCGTGAGTCCGCTCCCCAGCTTGCTGCAGGCGAAGGCGATGTCCGGCCTCGTCGTCGTCGCCGCAAACTGCAGCGAGCCGACCTTCTGCCGGTACTCCTCCTCCTGGCGCTCCTGCGCCTCCTCGTCGTCGAAGGTGAGCTCGGCGTAGGCGTCGACCGAAACGGGCGTCTTGGGGGTGCGCCCGGTCTGCTCCTGGTCGAGGAAGCGCCTACGCAGCTTGTCGGCGTAGCCGTGCCGGTGCAGCCATAGCTTCCTTACCGACCTATCGCGCACGATCTCCAGCCCGAGGTACTTTTGCACCGGCGAGATCTCGCGCAGCTCGAAGGCGGCCTCCAGTAGCTCCTTCAGCTCCTTCAGCATCGCGGTACTGCTGCTGGCGGCGAGCAGGTCGTCGACGTAGACCAGCACCCAACAGGTCACCTTGTCGACGCCGACCTTGAAGTAGAGAGCCTCGTCGACCTGGCTCTTCTTCCATCCAGCGCCGACCAGCACGTCGTTGAGAGCCTTGTACCACAGCAGCGGCGACTGCTTCAGCCCGTAGAGGCTCTTCAGCAGCTTGCACACCCGGCCGGTCCCGTCATTGAAGTAGTCCGGCTGGTACATGTACAGCACGCGGTCGAGCTTGCTCTGCAGGAAGGCATTCTTCATGTCGAGCTGCATCAGGTTGAGGTCGAGGACGGCAACGATGCTGAGGAAAATCCGCAGCGTGACGTAGCTGCTCACCGGCGCGTACGTCTCGTCGTAGTCGGCGCCATACACCTGCGTGAAGCCCTTCACGACCAGCCTCGCCTTCTCGCGCTCGACGGTGTCGTCGATGTGGTACTTCGTCGTCAACACCCACCGGTTCTTCATGATGTTGACCCCGGGTGGGCGTTCGACCAGCTCCTTCGTCCCCATGCCGTTGAGGCTGCGGATCTCCTCCTCCATGGCGGCCTTCACCGCCGGACCCTTCCAGCTAGCCAGCGCCTCCTTCACCGTCATCGTGGAGATATCCCAACGGTGCTCGGGGTCGGCGTGCATGTCGGGGTCGAGCTCCAGCAGGTCTTCATCCTCATCGGCGTCGTCGTACAGCAGGTCGTCGTCCTCGTCGACCACGTCATACACCGTGGTGAAGGCAGCCGGGACGAAGAAGTCGGGAGGCCTCCGAAGGCGGCCTGTACGCCGTGGTCCAGCCTGGGCCTCTCCCACGTCACTGTCGGTGGACTCCTCGTCGCCCAACTGCTCCCCTTCATCGTCCTCGTCGTCCTGCTGCACCTCGGTCGGCGTCCCGACCGATTCCTCCCCTGCGGTCAGCTCCCCTGCCGACTGCCAGGTCGCCGACTGCTCCTTGGTCGGCCTTGTTGCTGCCTGCTCCCCTGTCGGCTTCACCCAAGTCGGCTGCACCTCCTCGACCTGCTCCTCCCTTATCCACGTCGACTTCACTCCCACGTCGACTTGCTGCTCGTCACGTCGGCCACCGGCGATGCTCTTGGCCGCAGGCGACGTCCCACTACTCCCCTCATCGCCGGAGGCCGACGCCGGAGTCAGTTCACGCAGGTCGGCCACGAGGGGAGA